AAAAATAGATTTTAATAAATATATTCGTTACTTTGTCTGATTTTCCTTATGTTACGCTTGTATTTAACATTTTATATATAGATGTGGTTGCGTTTTATCATACTTATCATGTGTCTATATATTATAATGCTGATCTAATCCTGGTTATGACATCGAATATTAAAGAATCGAGAAGAAGAAAAGAGGAGAAATTGCATTTCTTCTCTTTTCTTTCTTCACTTCGACTCTCGACGTCAATCGAGATTAAATCAAGTCAGTCAAATCAAGTGGCAGTTGACAATCGCGATTTTCGATTTAGGCAAAGATCTCTCTCTTTCCTTAAAATTATATAAATAGCGTTCGCGTTGAGGACCGCCGCGTCGTCGTAACGCGAATTTCCTTCACTTGGATTAGCGATTCGTAGAAGATCCGAAATAAATTCCGGGCGTAGATTTCCATTATAATTTCCAATTGAAATTGTGGACTCCCGCGGACTCCCGCGGACTCGGCCGGCACGTCTCCCGTTGCATACAAAATTACTTCCAACGCGGACTCCGACGTATCGCGCCGGCGTTGTGTTCCGTGGAACTGCACAGAATGCGCCGTGGATTACTGAGCTAATTACTGTCGTAGTTACTCACACTGTGCGTCGTAGCTACCCCGTGGAATAATTAATGTTGATAATAGATATATGCCGCGTATTATAAATTGCGTTATACAATATCATGTGCGTCACAGCGGTGCCGATATTAATTCGTCGTTAGGGGGATTGGAGATAATCAAGGAGTGACAAGTATGTAATTAATAGTGGTACGAAACAATATTGAATTGAATCGGCATTGCAGCCTTATCAATTTTATTCTTAACATACGCGATGTAATAAATTATTTATTCAAAATACTTAATAGCGATAAATATGATAATTATGAAAAACAATTATATGCAAAACATTTATCATGCATACGTGTAGTGCGTCTAATGCAATTTTTATAGAAACTTAAGAAACTTTTAAAACATCATCAACTGAATTGAAAATTATTTAGATAATAGAAATTCCAACTAAAATCACATTTAACTTAATTATATTTGAATCAATAAAGGTTGCATCAAGAAAGCTTTATTTAATACCCTAATTAAATGGCTGTAAATAAAAATTGATACGATAATGATAGACTAAAATGCAATCTTTTCTATCTTCTTATATTCTCTCAAATGAATAAATAAATATTTGACACTTATACTTTATTAAAAACAAAGAATGCGTTTAATAAATGCTCAGCGAATGCAATGCTCAGAATAGGATTAGTTGATAAGGATAAAAAGAGCTTAACGTTTGATCTACTTGTATCTTTTAACAAGGAAATATTTATTTCATTGAGAGCTATCTCTCTGAGTAATTTGAAATTAGTATAATTTATAAATTAGTATAATATATAATTAATCGATAAATACAGAACTATTAAATGTATTATTTACATATATATATTTACATGAATATAATGTAATACATGTAATACATGTATTTAGTATATGTACTAAATCTTATCTAGCATTTATTATTTTAAAATAACATAATATAATAATATATAATAAATAATATAATAATATATTAATAAAATGAGAAAAAAGCCTCTACATCTGCGGGAAATTTTTTAAGTACTGCCTCTTTTAGAAGTTCATTTTTGAAGTAATTTTATAAAGAAAAGCTTATATAAATATATGGTCTTAAGAACTAAGAAAAAACTATGTTATAGAATTTTTAACATTTAGTATCTTTGAAACAGAGTTTCTGAGACTATATATGTTCATATGAACTTTTCTTTATAGAATGACCTCAAAAATTCATATGAACTTTTCTTTATAGAATGACCTCAAAAATTAATTCACAAAATATTAGACTTTGCTTAAGAAATACCCTGAATATTAATAAATAATAATAAATAACATATTTCAAAACAAATGTGTTTTATTAATAAATCAATTTTAAAATTAATAAAAGCAAAACGTATATTGTACATTACTGGTGAAAGTAGATCAGAATACGTAAAAGTAGGTTACAATACGTAAAACATATTAATTGTTCGTCATAATAAAGTATGTCACGGCATGTTTTAAAGTATTGGAATAAAACTTTTGTTGACATACATCCAAGTAGCCTTCAGTAGCTGTTTCAGAACTTTAATTCAAGAGAAAAAATTTAGTTAACAGAATACTTATTCTAATCAAATGTCGTATATTTAATAAGCAAGACAATTCTCTGTACAATTGACAAACAAGATAATTCTCTCAAGAAAAAGACCAAATATTAAAGATAGTCCGATAAAATATTCATCATATTTATCATAATGCATATATATTTTTTACAAAACATTTTTTTTTTATAATTATATTTTCTTATAAATTATATAAAATATGCATCGATCTCCTTTCGCGCGATTATATAAGATACGAATTTCTTTGGCTAATTTTCTTGTGTTATGGATCCAAGTGATATAACGTTACCCTATTGTGTGATTTACGTGCGCATTATAACGCGGGCACTCGTTCGCGGCTAATTAACCCATGGCCAGTGTTTTGTTTTGTCGAGCCTGCGTCTCTGGTCTGAAAGACCATCGCGACCATTTCTCTTTTCACACGAAATAAAGGCGTCTATTGTGAACGGTTTGTGCTTTCACCTATTCGCCAACTTACAAAAGATGCTTGGTCCTTGCGTTTGTTTCTGAAAATGTATTTTGTATCGCCATTACCGGAACGCCTGCGTATTTTTGTTTTTGATTTACGCATCGCTGCTATTAGTAACAAAAAAAATGAAAGAAAGAACATCACACACGCGAAATCTCGCTTCAAAAAAAAAAAAACAATTTCTTTACATCTCATCTGTATTAGAATGCATATTTTATACAAGTTATGTGAAATTAATTCTTAATTGCACATTTTCTCTCGACATGATTAATTCCCTACGGATGCAGAATGTGGGACACAGCAGAGCATAATTAGAAAATCTTTCTGACTACAAGAGAAATTTATCTTTTCGTAAATTTGTCCTTATATGCAGAGCAAATACAAAGACGTTTCTATTAACTGTTTCGAGATATAAATAGGAAATA